GTCCCTAGCTTGTAGAAAGGAAAATACAGTGCTGATCCAGTCAATAACAATAAAGCATTTAAATTGCAATTAAATGTTATTTGTCTTAACAAGCCAGTCTTCACAGAGTAAGTGCCAAAATCCACAAATATAATCTCTAGGGGAAGATATAGAGAAGAATAAGCAGTGATGTCTCTAGAGGGAGAAACAATCTACCGAATTTAGGAGTCTGCTTAATGAGGTTGGGATTTAAATCTGTCATTAGTGCCAAATGAATGTATTTTTCACAACCAGTAGATAGAGAATTGTGACATCTAAATTTGAAATTAAAATAACTAGGAGAGCTTGGGTTTTCATTCAATATCCAGGAAAATATGTAAAATATGAAAAGTAAAATGTTCTAAAGAAAGAAAAAGTAATTGGGCTTTATTCTTGTTCTGCTGGAGCACAGTCATCGGAAAATGTGTGTGACAAAGCAGCAGACTTCAGAGTTAACATTTCCTACCAGCTTGGCTGTAATGGTAGTACAAAACAGCTCAACAGAGAATCTGGCTTTTCCTGGTTTGAGCTAAACAGAACCAATTCTGTTCAGTGATTTTGCTTTCCAGCTAAGTACCTTCTAAGGTACTGTATTCTCTGAAGTTAGCAGCATATTCGTGCGGACAGTATCTGCTGCTAGAAGTGATAACACCTGATTTTTATTGTTGCTACCAAGGATAGATATGCAAAAAAGCTCTTGCTTATACTTGCTCCTGTAGCGACAAGGATCACTGCTGGAGCTTGTATGTCACATTGAGAGTGCCAGGAATTAAGAGGGGTCACAGGAAGTAAAAGGCTGCACCTCCAGGTGGAGGGAGGACAGGTGACCAACAAGAGTGTTGCATTCCGTATAAGTCATAATTAGTATAAAGCTGAGGGACCACAGAGGTTAAGTCTGCTTCTTCAATGGCCAGCATCTGAGGAGGACTCCATGCAATCTTCTGCCTTTTGATCCTGATCTTGACCCAGCTCTTGTATCCAGCTCTCCTCTGCCACTGAGCCTGGGATTTCCCCAGTGCCTGCTTGGTCTGCAGCTTCAGTGGGGATTTGCTACTGAGGGGGGGGGAGTTGGGCTTGATGTCAGTTTTGCATATATTTGCATATATTTAATTATTTCCTTATTAGCATTCTTACTGTTTTATTAAAGCTGTTTTAGTTTTCCAGTCCATAAGTCTCTCTGCCTTATTCCATCTCCCTTCCCATTGGGGAGAGAGAGGGATTAGAGATCATCTGTCAGTGTTTAGTAGCCAACCCAGCCCTAACCATCGTGATGGTTGTAATCTTTTTAAACTATTAATGAGAAAGTTTATGATAACTATTTTTTTTGCTGCCTCCCCCCAAGAGAACTTTAACATTTATCTGTTAGAAAATGGTGTCAGGGATAGATCTTTGTGTTACAGCATAACTCACTTGTAGAGAAGTCAAAAAATAAATCACTTTCCTTTTACAACTTTCATTTCCATATGACAAATCACATTATTTTTCTATGTGACATATACTAAAACATCTACTGATTTCAGAATGAGAATTTAATTTGGACCTCAGATTGTTTTGTAAGTGTAAAAATGAGTACTTTATTACAAGTGATAACTTTGAGTATTTCCTATTACAGTGAAATAAGTACTTAAAGGAAATACTATGCTACAGTAAAGAACTAACTTGAATTATTCTGTTGATATATTCTTTATAAAAAATAAGTTTTATAAAAGTATTTCTATAGAGACAATATATAGTTAATAGTATAACTTGTGTTATTTCTTCATCCTTTCTCTTGAATGAAAGATATGTATTATAGCAAAACTAAAGATCAGATTTAATCAGCAGTGAAAATGAAATTCTGGACTCTGTATATGCTTGGATATCACTAGAATCAGGCTCTGCTATTATTTATACCACATTATTTTTGCTGGCACTGTGAATAATTAGATTTTCACCAGTCTCAGGGAAGAGCCAATTCCCAGCACGACAACTAAAAGAATGAATATCAAAACATTTTCAGATGGGCAGACTCTATGAAGGAGCTAAAGACGTGCAACCAAGAATAATCACTATAGCAAAATCCCTCACATAATTACAAACTGCTGGAAGCTATTGGAAGCCATTGTAATGTGAAAATATAAACTTACTGATTGCTAATTACATAGAGACAATGTCAAAGTCAAATAACATACAACATAATACCGACAGTACAAAAGATACTTTGAATACCTCAGAATGTAATATCTCCAATTAAGGAAGAAAAATATAGTACAGTAAAAATATTTTGGCATAGGCAATGCAGAACTGGCAAATTAATTTCACAGAGTATTTCTGTTTCTGCTAGCTGTAGAATATTTGTGTAAAATACTTTAAAAGGATATTTTCTTTTAGCTCCCAGTTCAGCAGAGTACTTATATGCTACTTAGCTTTCTGATGTGATGATCCTAGGTGCAATGCCACCTATTCCTACAGGAAGTGTCTTAATGCTTAGAGCATCTTTTTCCATCTACTACTGTTCCTTTCTAACAGGAGAGTTTATAATAGAATATAAATCTCATGTCAACAGAGAATTTTACCATGAAGACTTTTTTTTTTTTTCCTGCTGTAGAGAAGGGCTTTGTAGTGGATACATGAAAAATGTTTAATAACAATTCAGGATCAGTAACAAAATGTATTGATCACAGATAAACTTACTTGACTTAGATAATCATATGTGACCTATGGATAATGTCTCTGAGACAGCTTATACAGGCAGTATTTACACCGTGGGTCCCAGGAAGACTTCCCTACTCCCAGTTCCTGTATATCCTCAAATACTTACTACACATGGAGGCAAGGTGTGGGCACACCATCTTCTCATTTCCTCTGGAGGAAACAGGTCCACAAGGACAAGAAGGGAGATTCAGTGTTCAGTAACAAGCTCCCCTTCTCTGGGCAGCTGAGGAACAAGACTCTAAGGTTCACCACTGAGTCCACTTTGTTTTCATCTGGATGCTCCAACTGTTCCCCATTCAAGAACTCCCTTCCTTTTTCAGCTAATGTAACAAATGTAGATATCACTACTGAACAAATTTCACAGCATATGATAACAATCAACCACAAAAATGGAGCAAGTAGTCAAATTTGTGAAAAATAATTCAGACGTTTTTAGTAAAGCTATAGAATTCCTTGATAAATGAATCAGAAAGGAGTGTCAACACAAGATTTAGGGTAATTTTCCAACTGTTTGAAGAAGACACGTTGTAGTGGTTCATAGTGTATGTTATATAGCCAGAGGAGCTTAGAGCCATAATGAAAAGGCTGCACTGAAGAGACAGATATTTGTGTTGCTTTAGGACGTTGTTAAGTAACCTTGCCGACGGTGTTGTTAGATAAAAACAACATAATGAAACTGGATACCTAGACCTCTAGGAAATGTAGTCTATCATCTGTAGACACTGTGTTGTGATTTCTGTTATGGACCTTTGCCTGCAGTACCAGACCTGCTTCCCTATGCATGTAGCCCTTAAAATGCTGACATAGTATTTTATACAATCGCTCCACGCTACAATGTTAGTTGCTTCTTACGTGTTTTATGTCAAGTTATATAAAGTACATTACCAATGGCACTCCTCCTAACTTTAGCCACATGAAATGTGTAATCTATGTTAGTTTTCTCCTATAGGCAACCTTTTACTTCATTTTCTCTACATTACAGCAAGTGAAATTCATTCCTCTTTATCTATGTTTGGCAAGAATTAAGCCCACTACATTTACTACCAGCCTTTGCTACCTACTGGAAGTTGTTCCTTCACTGGGGTCCCATACAAAGAGAGTGGCCCAAACCTGTTGAGAAAAGGAACACAGCAAAGATTTACGAACTGATTACTTTTAGGTGAAAGGACATGTAATGGGAAGATATTATGAACAAGGGGCAACTAGCATGGATCTGGCACACACCAGGGCAAAAAAGGAAAATACTCCGCAATTAGTCCGTGAGTCAGTTATACTTTTTCACTAGTCAAGCAAATCACTGTACCTATGCAAGCAAATTGAGGTGAAAAAAATCTGTAGGGAGACCCCTGTTAAAAAACTTGAAAAAAACATAATGTTGAAATCGGCTCTGACTGCACCGTGAAACCTTGGGAATTCATTTTTCCTAATGGAAGAGAACACTTTGTAACTCTAAAGCTATTTTCAAGATGCTTATGGTATGAGTAACTTTTCTTGTCTTTCACAACTGTCAGAGGTGTCTTCAGTGATAGTGTCTGATAGGCAAATATGCCTCTGCTCAGGACACTGGTGTTTCATTAACATACACCAGGTTTGAATTTGGCTAGAGTTTACATTTCTGACAAGATGCAGACATACATAAAAAGATGCATGCTGACTCTCATTTTATTCCAAACTAAACAGCATTTTCTACCAGTAGTAATCCCAGCAATTTCACAAACTATTTGAGAAGTTACCTATTACTCATCCAGACAGGAACTTGGCTCCTGTATTTATAAGTATTATCCAAATAATGTAAGATCTCAATAAGGTGCATTTGAACCAAATCTGAAATTATTTGGTATAAATCAACAATTTTATTATTTAATAGGATAAAGAAGATTCTGCATACCTTTATATTAAATCTTCAGCTGGTGATTTAATCCAATGTATATATATATGCATGTGTGTAATTGCATTGAATTTTTTGGTAGTGGGGTGGAATACATTGGCTTCTGTGAGAAGCTGCTAGAGCCTTCCCCCGTGTTCAGCAGAACCAATGCCAGCCAGCTCCAAGGTGGACCCACAGCTGGCCAAGGCCAACAGCATTGGCAACAGTGGTAGCACCTCTGGGATAACACATTTAAGAAGGGGAAAAAAATGAGCAGTTGCCACCAGAGAGAAGACTGAGAAGATGTGAAACAACTCTGCGGACACTACTGTCAGTAAAAAAGGAGGGGGAGGAGGCTATCCAGGCACTGGAGCAGAGATTCCCCTGTAGCCCATGGTAATGAACACCATAGCAAGGCAGAATGTCCCTCTTGCAGCCCATAGGAGTACTCAGTGGAGCAGATATTCACCTGCAGCCCATGGAGCACCCTATGCCAGAGCAAGTGGATGTGCCTGAAGAGGCTGTGATCCCCTGCAAAGCCCACGCTGGCACAGGCTCCTGGGAGGACCTATGGACTTATGAAGAATGGAGCCTACAAAGGAGCAGGTTTTCTGCTAGGACTTGTGACTCCGTGAGAGACCCGCACTGGAGCAGTCTATTCCTGAAGGACTGCACCCTGTCAAAGTGACTGACACTAGAGCAGTTCAAACTGCAGCCTCTGAGAAGGACTCATATTGGAGAAGTTCGTGGAGAACTGTTTTCCATGGGAGGGACCCCACACTAGAGCAGGGGAGGACTGTGAGGAGTCTTCCCTTGAGGAAGAAGGAGCAGTAGACACAACATCTAATGAATTGACCACAACCCTCATTCCCTGTCCCCCGGCAATGCTCAGGACGAGGAGGGAGAGAAATCAGGAGTGAAGTTAAGCCCAAAGAGAAGGAAAGAGTTGGGGAAGGTGTTTTTAAAATTTGTGGTTTTTAGATTCTTCTCTTATTTGATTGGTATTAAATTAAACTAATTTCCCCAAGCTCTGAGTCTGTTTTTCCCGTGAGAGTAATTGTTGAGCAATCTCCCTGTCCTTGTCTTGACCCATGAACCTTTCATTATATTTTCTTTCCCTTGTCCAGTTGAGAAGATGGAGGGATAAAGTGACTTGCTGGACATCTGGCACCTAGCCAAGGTCAACCCAACACAGTAACACAAGGAAAATGATTCTTTTATCTCTTTTTTTTAAACAAAAACACAACAAACCAACAACAAAATGCAACAATTCTGTCTCTCTGATGCATATGTTGCCTCTATGCTATATCTCTTATGGCAAGTCTAGTATGCTGCAATTCTATGTCCTTTTTATAGAAGAAAGCACTATAGAAATTAAGAACTAGTTATCACATAAAAATATGACATAAAACTCTGAAATATGCTTAAAGCTCTTTGAAAACCTATCTGAAAAAAGCTAAATATTTACTGAGTTTGGTTTTTTCCTGGATGAAATTCAATTTTGAGGATCATACATTAAGAAGTGAAATCCCACCAGGGAGAACTGACAGACCATACAATGTTTTACAAGATAGGAATATATCCTGACAAGGATTAGTTAAAACACTTAGTTCGTATTTTCAAGCATTATGTAATATATCTGTAAGAGTTTTGTCAGTATAAAAGCATGTAAGCCTGATTTTTAGAGAATTAACAGGGAACATACTGTGGATGGTTTGTTCATGGCTGTGGAATTCAGTTTCACTGTTTACAGATCTTTGTCGTGCTTTCCATTTTCGTAGTGAATTCTACCTCATGTTCTGTGACTTTTCCACAGATCTTGCTAGTGGGATAATGGAAGCATTTGTGAACTTGTTTTTCCGTTTGAAATCAGCTTTTGAGGTACATGTGTTTTACAGTCTTTTGGTTCCTTGTGTACTCAACTGACAGGAAAGTCAAGTTTGTTGTGAAAAGTGAGCTTTGATGGCTTTGTACTACACTTTTTGCACTAAAGGAGGGACAGGCTGACCCAGCCCTGTCTTACTAGTATTATCAGTATGACTGGGCTAGCACAGGCTGTGGGTTTTACTTTTTTAAAATGTCTATGCCGAAGTTACTTATTGTAACATATATGGGATGGAAATTACAGAGGTAACAAGGAACTAACCATCTTCCTTTCTTCTTCTCTCTGTAGTTTGTTGCTCAGCCCAACTGCCAGCAGCTGCTCGCGTCTCGCTGGTACGATGAGTTCCCCGGATGGAGGAGGCGACACTGGGCTGTGAAGATGTTGACATGTGTTGTGATAGGACTCCTTTTCCCAGTCTTCTCTGTGTGCTACCTGATAGCTCCCAAAAGCCCGTTGGGACTGTTCATCAGAAAGCCATTTATCAAATTTATCTGCCATACTGCATCCTACTTGACTTTTCTGTTCCTGCTGTTGCTTGCCTCTCAGCACATTGACAGGTCAGACCTGAGCATGCAGGGACCGCCACCAACCATCGTCGAGTGGATGATATTACCGTGGGTCCTGGGTAAATGTATTACTAAAGAAAATACGGTGAAAAGTTTTTGATCCCTGTGGTTTTGCCAAGTATTCCCAAGGCAGGAAGATACAGTAAAGAGTTCTGTCACTAATTATTGACTTAGCAAAACAGGCAAATGATCCATCTCCTCCAATACCTAGCAAGAGTAGTAAAAAATTTGGGAAATGTTTAAAAATCCAGAGTGTCACCATCTATTATATTACAAAAACCCAAAAGATCTTGGAGTTTCCTTCCTGTGATTAAGCAGTACCCTGAAAAATACATATTGATATTCTTTTTAATAGATATTTTCCAGGCCAGGAATTTTTCTGATTCTTTTAAGTATCTTTTTAAAAAAATTTCTTACTCTTCTTTTCAAAAAGGATCTTTTTCCCATGATAATTATTTCTCATGCATTAGGATGAAGCACAGTGTAATTTCTGGAGTATTATGACTAACCATAGTTATCTGAAGTATGCTTCTTTCTAATATGCCAGACCCACCTATTGCAAATTTTACTGACCAGCAATTTCAAGTGAGTATTTTCATTAAAATAAGCATGCAGGGTATTTTTTCTGTGCAAAACCATTGATGATAACTTGCTACTCAACTTCATAAAAAATAATTTACATCAGAAGGAATGAGAAAATCCTCTAGCATTTTTTAAATGTGGGGAAAGACTACCACTCTGTCTTGATAGTTTAAAAAAAAAAAATCAGTGGAGATTTTTGGTATTTTTGAAAACCTATGTTTTGTGGGCCATGCTGGCCTTAGATGTCTTCCTGTGTGATTCTTCAATCCTGTCGGATTGGAATACTCTAGTTCCTCCCCACCTTTTTCTGTCTTCCCTGACAGATGATATCTCTCCTGTTGTGCCAGGGTCTCTTCCCTGTTTCATGTTTTAGGAACTAAAGAAAGTTGGACCAGGCCAGACTAAATATATGTGGTCTTTACTGAAATTAAATTGTAGAAGGAGGGACTTAGTAGCCTTAACTGCAAGAACTTAAGTCTGATATCTTAATCTAAATTGTCGTCACACAGACAAGTTCACACACAAATTTTTCTGAAATGTTTTGAAGGGATTTTGATGCTGTTACCTTTCCCAGAGCTTCCCATTAAGTTGCTGTTTCTCTTCACTTTTGCAACTTTTCCTAAACACCTGTGTTTTTTTAGAGCAACCAAACTGACAAAGCTTTTGGCATCATTGATCATATATCATTTACATGCAGTGTTGAATTTATAATGCGTTAATTGACAGTGCCTGATATTCCAGAAAAGAATGAGTCAGTGGCTATTCCTCTACCTGTTTCTTGGTAGAGCACTGTGGAAAGCAAGAGGCAGAGCTACATCTGTCTTTCACTTCAGAAAACAAGCATGCACGACTGAAAACCCAGTGTACACTTAGGTGTTAGGAACCTCTCAGAAGAACCTGCCTTCCACAGATGAACTGTTTTCTGAGATGTCACCCATGCTACCATAGCATAAAGCAATCCTCACCACCAGCCTTCAGTGTAAGGCGTGTTGTCCTTCACTGAGTACATGTTGAAACTAACATTCAAAAAGGCAATATCGAGCATTATTGCAATTGAATTAATTAATCAGAGATGGCGTAGAATGATATTTCCTATGGAGAAGTCAGACTAACTTCAGTGTGTAAGATTCACATTTAAATATTAAAAGTCCTCTAATAAGTTTTCCCAGTTTTATACCTTCAAGAAATAAGAAGTCAATGTGACAATCATTAGTTTCCTTAGAAATAAATGCTACAATGCTGAGGAGGAGCAGGAGGCTCTTCTGTCCTGCCCCATGCCCAGAGGATGTATTAGTAGCTTTTCTGTCTAGCCTTCCAAATTAGCAGGTGGTCAGTATCTGTCCTGAGGATGAAGAGTAATAAAAAATGCATAGCTGACACATAGACCTTGACACACAAAAGTTGGTTTTATCACTAAACTACCTTTTCAAAGAAAGAAATTAGAGCCTCGAGAAAAAGGTACCTTGGTTTCAGTTAAAGGCAGTTCTAAAATTTTGATGTCTTAACTCCTCTCCAGAAAACATGCAGTGGGAAGAGCAAGAACCTCTGTTGCCCTCAACCTCTGACACTGTTGTTTGCTTAGGAAAGGGTTTAAGTAACTCAGCATCCCAAAGCACTTGTTTGAAGAAGATGTTAACCCTGAGAATTATGATTATCAAGGTGACTATCATTTCTAAAAGCAGCATTAATATTTGCAGTATAGACTCATATGGTTGGATTATGCCGGTACTGCCTGTTCTGAATAAGGCCTTTGTCTGCAAGCAGTACAGGTCAAGTCAAGGGAACTGCTTGCATAAACAAATACTCATGAGCATGAGTAAAGATCAATAGTCAGATACCATGTGCTCAAATAGCTTGTGGTTAAACTAGACTGTAATGTTCAGAGAAACTGTGCCTTCCAAAATCTTGCATCTAAACCAATGTATTTTACACGTCTAGAGGTTCCTAACTAATATTTTCCCATAGATCCAGCTTCATGTTTACTGGGTTTAGTTTCCAGACTTTGGTTGCTGCAGCGCCTTAACTCACTCAAATAACAAGGCCCCATATTTACCCATCATCATCTCAGGCAATTCATTATGTACCTACATTTCCCCTGTCATTGAAGGATACAGACACACATCTCTACAGGACATGTCAATTCACAGCACATTATGAACATGCCTATTTCAGTTTGAGTATGATTTTTTTTTCTTTTGAAGGAATGAACCCCAGCCAAAACCTGCCGTTTTCATATTCACGTACATACGAACTGTGGTCTACTCATCTTTTAATGAACTAAATGGCTTTATTAAGTTCTTATCAATTAGTTAAGTTTAGCTTCTAGGACAAAATTTAGTCTGATATCTCGTCTCTCCAAACTACGCATTTATGCACTATCCTTAAAAAGAGTAAATGCAGCTCTCATGAATTGCACAAGGGAGCCTAAATCTGAGGTACAGAGATATATTTTTGGTTTTCTGGATGTAGATGAAAAATATTAACATCTAAGAGAAAGATGATGTGGCTTTAAGGTTATAGTTTTTATATGAGTTTGGAAACAAGACTGAGTAAACCCCTTCCAAAAGCCAAAGTTATCCTGGAGCAGCGACAGCACGTCAAAAAATATTAACATTTTAAACAATAGAATTCTTTGTTTGCATTTTAAAAGCTACCTCACATAAAAAGATGAGAGGAAAAGGAAAGTATTCCAGGCTTCTTATCGACATGAATTTCAGCATACTTGTATTTCACAGAACTTAAGAAGTTTCAAGATTTTCCATAGCAATCTAAGATCTCCAATGATCAAATAGTAATTAACATTTACCTACAACTTTGAAGTAGAAGACTAAATGTGCATAATTAGCACATATTAAAAGTGTCACTAGAGGAGGAGTCTCAGAGGAAAAACCTGTGTTGGGCTGCATTTCCATGGAGACTACTGATTTTACATTCAAAAAGTCTCTTAAGGAAATTTCTCCATTAACTTTGTCTTTTACATGATTAGATGGTTACAGAAGCGGTGTTACAGTATGAGGTGATTATCTGTGGAACAATAAGTCAGTATAACAAGGCTAATGTTATAGCTTCAAGAAGCAGTTGTGGAAAAAAATCAGGAAGAGTCAGAATCTTCTGTCCTTGCATTTAAACAAACAAGAAACAAGCTTCTGCTGGTAATTTTTGTTCTTCTTATTAGGGGTAGATCTCCCAAGCATGCCAGATACTTCACACTACAGCAATACAGACCTATTTTCTATACATGAGAATCCATCATCACTGAAAAAAAACCCCACAAAACCACAAGAAAAACAAGACCCTCATCTTGTGAATAAAATGAGGGAAAACAATATTTTTCGTCATCGAATGCCCCATCCAGCTACGCCAAGGGAAAAATGAATGGCACAGGGCTTTATCATCTGTGTGCCTTGACTTGACTCATGTGAAAATCGTATTGATCCCTACAGGCTTGTCATACCTGTTCTTCTGCCTTAAACCCTAACATCAAACCTAGCAGTGGCCATGCTAAATGTTCTCACAGCGAGTATTTGGCTCACCAAGGGAATGCTACAAAACTCAAGAGGAGAAAGCCAGCAACCAGAAAAACTTAGTTCTTCAGTAGATGTGGTTAAAAAGATATCTGCCAGTTCTTTGGGGTGGCCACAGGAAAAAAAAGATGATTTTTTAATGCAAATTTGTTTCAGTGATTTTTTTGCTCTTTTATGGGCATCTTTAAATGTTCTTTGTAATTACGTTGTGCAGAATACTGCCTGGAGCAGAAACGCAGCCTTATTTGATCTCTTTAACAATGCATTCTCTATCCTTTCTGTCAGAGTGGTTTATGCTATTGGAGTACATAAATTTGTAGAGAATGTGGATGTTTGGGAACTGCAGACATTTGTGGTCAGCAAACTGCTGGTAGGATGTGTGGGAGTGTACAGTCTTGACAGTACTCAGCAAAATGCACCTCCAAACCAATGGCACAGCAAGACACTTAGATGAAGTGGTCATAGAGGTGGTCACTGTGCATCAGCTTCTAAATTTGGTCGAGAAAGTGTTGTGTAAAGAGTTAATTAGTACAAATTGACACGTTCCTGGGAGCAGATGTAAAGGATAATGTGGCCAGGGAGATGAAACAGTACATAACCAGTAGTGCCCTAAATGGAGTCCAGACAAAGCTGGAAGACTGAGTCAGAAAGGAGGATAATGTACATAGTGACCACTCAAGTTCATTCAGTCCAAACTACTGCTCGACACAGGCTAACTGCAAAGATAGATCAGACTGCTCAAGTTCTTATGCAGTCAAATCTTCAATTTCTCCAGGGATGGTTATTCCACTGCATCTCTCAGCAATCTGTGCTTGTGTCTAAACGCTGGTGAACTTTTTTCTTGGTATCAGTTGGAATATCCCATGCCACAACATGCAACTATTAGCTCTTGTCCTTCTCATGTGCACCCCTAGAAAAAATCTGGCTCCAGCTATCCATAAGGAGCAATTTCA